GTGCGCATCATGTACTGCATACCGCAGCAATACTTTGAAACGGAGATCAAACTATTAGCGCGAGGCAAAGAATTACCTCCCGCTAGCAAATTAAAAAACCTTAGTGTGTTCCTGGCATCGAGGTTTGGAGTTTCCATGATGCGTGTCGGAGGCCGGCTCGCAAGATCGCAACTGCCATATGAGGCTAAGTTTCCAATTGTGTTGTCCCCTCAGGGTATATACGATATCTACACGAAAGCGACATGCATGTGGGTACGCAGGCGTTGATGTCAATATTGAGACAGCAGTGCTGGGTGGTGAATGCGAGAAGGCTGGTAAGACAAGTCACCACCCAATGTTTGCTTTGCTTTCATTCCAGGCCCAAACTTTGTGAACAAATTATGGGGAATTTGCCAGCAAGACGAGTAGCAGTAACAAGGCCGTTTTACTCCACTGGTGTTGACTTTTTGGACCTATTCTCACCATCGTCCGACTTCGAGGAGTGCGCACTGTGAAAAGCTATTTGGCGATCATGGTTTGCTTTTCAACCAAGGCGGTACATATTGAGGTGGTATCCGACCTCAGTACAAAGGCGTTTATGGCAGCGCTCAAGCGGTTTGTGGCGCGAAGAGGCTTATATCACCACCTTTACTGTGACAACGGCACTAACTTTGTGGGTGCTCGGCGAGAAATGCAAGAGTGGAAACAGATGTTCCTCTCCCAACAACAGCAGCACAAGATAAGCGAGTTCTGCGCAGTCAAGGGCATTGCATGGCACCATATACCGCCGCGCTCCCCACATTTTGGCGGGCTGTGGGAGGCGGCGGTGAAATCGGCTAAATACCACCTTACGCGTACGTTGGGTAATGCACACTTTACGTTCGAAGAGTTGTGCACAATAACCACAGAAATCGAGGCGATTTTGAATTCGCGGCCGTTGTGCACATGTTCGGCCGATCCTAATGACGAAGAAGTGCTAACACCAGCTCATTTTCCGGTTGGTAGCACACCGGATGTATTAGCGGAACCACTACTAGAACCAGCAAAGGTCAGTCTTAGAGATCAATGGCAAAGTCTGACAGTCATGAAGCAGCATTTCTGGGCTCGATGGAGCAAAGAATACCTGCAGGATATGCAACGCAAAGCGAAGTGGATTAAACCGCAACGTAATTTGGCAGTAGGTAGTGGTAGGGTTCTGATGCTTAAGTCGACAGTTGTCATTTTTGATGAGATATAAAGAAAAATCTAGAAACAAAGATTGACTTCTTGGCGGAACTACAACTAGTATCTATGTAAATATGTCGAAATTGATAGTTTTTTTAAACAAAAATCGTTTAAAATCAGCTCTGTAAAAGAGCGGAAAAATTTAAATTTCCAACAAAAAAACTGGTTATTGCAAACACAAATTTTTTTGGAATCCCTTGTTCGAGGTTCTCGATATCCTCATCCTAAAACTGCGGCAGTAGTCTTTCCCTGCAAAACCCTATTCTTCTGGCATGTATCCCCATTAAGCATTCAAGGAAATCAAGATCCTTGAACCTCTTAGATGTGTTGTATGCTCAAAGCCAAAATTTACAAGATGGTAGTGGTACTACCGCATTTATGGCACAAAGGGATGTCCTACCCTTGCCAAGTCGAAATTACCCAAAATATCTTCCCATTCGTTACCTGAGGGAATCCGTCTATTGAAACTATTGTCAAATGCTATAGCTGTAATAGAGTAGTCTAGTTCCTCAAGAGTTTTTGGACTTGTACCCCATTTTGCAATGTGTTTTATGCCTGTCAGTAGTTTGCAGTCTGCCATATACCGGGAGGAGATTGTGCACTTAGTTGGTGTAGAAGGCAGAGATCCCGTTATAGGCATGAACGCCACCCCATATGCCTTGATGAATTTCTACCTTATCGAATATTCATTCAAGCAAATCCTTTATAGTGTGACATGGTAATACATGATTGAATGGAACACTGCGGTATACACAAAGTTTGAATTTTTTTACCTAGGGCAAAGACCAGGTATTACCTGGCGGGTAAGCTCAGGAAGGTGAAGTATTTGTCTTCGCCCACCAGACTCAATAGGACAACATTTAATGAGGGGAGTTGGAACTGGGTAATTTTATTTTTATTCGTAAAAAGAATTCTAACTGCCTTTTAGTGATGAGCGATGTTTCACTGTCGGTTATTTTTTCACTGTGAATTAAAAATCGTTCATGAAAACTAGCTGCTAGTCCAATAAAGCAGTGATTCGCGATTTTATTTTATTTTATGTTAGTAGTGAATTTTCTACCTTCTTACTTTGTGTGGTAGGTACTTTTTATACCTTTCATGAGCATGAAATGGTATTATAACTTTGGTCCAATGTTTGTAAGTACCAGAATAAAAAGAGATAGACCCAATAAAATGTAGACTTATATGATCAGAACGTCGAGCTGAGTCGATTGAGCCATGCCCGTCTGTACGTCTGTCTGTCTGTCTGTCCGTATGTTTGTATGCAATCTAGTCTCTCAGTTTTCGAGATATCCTCATGAAATTTGGTAAGTGGGTGTATTTTTATATTGTATTAATCATTTATCGGAACCGGAAGAATCGGACCACTATAACATATAGCTCCCATACAACTGATTGTTCAGATATGAGACTTTTCGTTATAACTCCTCCATTTATGTAGCTAAGAACATGAAATTTTGCAATACTTCCACCCATTATCAACAGAAAACTTAGAGTGAAAATTACAAAGATCGGGTCACTGTAACCTATAGCTCCCATACTACTGATTGTTTAGATATGAGATTTATCGTTATATCTCCTCCATTTAAGTAGCTAGTAACATGCAATTTTGCACTGTTGTCCCTCATTATCAAAAGAATACTTTCAGTGAAAATGGCGAAGATCGGGTTGCTATAACCTATAGCCTCCATACAACTGATTATTCAGATATGAGATTTTTTGCCATAGCTCCTCCATTTATGCAGCTAGAAACATGAAATTTCGCACCGTTCTACTCATTACTAACAGAATACTTTCAGTGAAAATTACAAAGATCGGGTGACTATAACATATATCTCCCATACAACTGATTGTTCAGATATGAGAATTTCGTTATAACTCCTTCATTTATGCAGCTGGGAATATGAAATTTCGCACTATTTCCACCCATCATCAAAAGAATACAGTGAAAATGGTGAAGATTTGGTAGATATGAGATTTTTGTTATAAATTATCAATTTATGCAGCTAGAAACATTAATTTCGCACTATTTTCACTCATTATCAATAGAAAGTTTACAGTAAAATGAACAAAGATCCGGTCGCTATAACCTATTTATTGCCTCCATACCACAGATTGTTCAGATACCAGTTTTTCGATATATCTCCTTTATGTTGGAAGCTAAANACGTCTGTCTGTCTGTCTGTCCGTATGTTTGTATGCAATCTAGTCTCTCAGTTTTCGAGATATCCTGATGAAATTTGGTAAGTGGGTGTATTTTTATATTGTATTAATCATTTATCGGAACCGGAAGAATCGGACCACTATAACATATAGCTCCCATACAACTGATTGTTCAGATATGAGACTTTTCGTTATAACTCCTCCATTTATGTAGCTAAGAACATGAAATTTTGCAATACTTCCACCCATTATCAACAGAAAACTTAGAGTGAAAATTACAAAGATCGGGTCACTGTAACCTATAGCTCCCATACTACTGATTGTTTAGATATGAGATTTATCGTTATATCTCCTCCATTTAAGTAGCTAGTAACATGCAATTTTGCACTGTTGTCCCTCATTATCAAAAGAATACTTTCAGTGAAAATGGCGAAGATCGGGTTGCTATAACCTATAGCCTCCATACAACTGATTATTCAGATATGAGATTTTTTGCCATAGCTCCTCCATTTATGCAGCTAGAAACATGAAATTTCGCACCGTTCTACTCATTACTAACAGAATACTTTCAGTGAAAATTACAAAGATCGGGTGACTATAACATATATCTCCCATACAACTGATTGTTCAGATATGAGAATTTCGTTATAACTCCTTCATTTATGCAGCTGGGAATATGAAATTTCGCACTATTTCCACCCATCATCAAAAGAATACAGTGAAAATGGTGAAGATTTGGTAGATATGAGATTTTTGTTATAAATTATCAATTTATGCAGCTAGAAACATTAATTTCGCACTATTTTCACTCATTATCAATAGAAAGTTTACAGTAAAATGAACAAAGATCCGGTCGCTATAACCTATTTATTGCCTCCATACCACAGATTGTTCAGATACCAGTTTTTCGATATATCTCCTTTATGTTGGAAGCTAAACCCCTTTAAATTGTGTTACCGGTTTACATACCGATCACACGGCAGTTAAAATCACTTAGTTTGGTGCTATATAAGGTATATCTTTCATACCTTTGATTGTTTAGATATAATTTTTTATATATGTATCTCCTCTATATAAGTATGTATGCCGTGAATATATACATTTTTTACATTTTTTCAAATGCAGTAATCTGTTAAAGTAATATTTTCAGATGTTCATGAAAGGTATGAAGCCTTCGGCATAGCCGAAGACAGCGCTGCTCTTACTTGTTTCTATTTATTGTGCTTTTGTTAGTAATTTTTTGAATTTTCCTAAAATTACATTACAATTAAACATGATCCACCATGTGTGAAAACTTGGCTTGAAGGCCTGGCTACAAAAAACTTTGGCGGTGCGTTGGCGTCTCTTTCACATCAGCCCGAGTAGTTATAGCGGTTTCTGTACATTTGGTGGGTGTTATATATTATAACGGGTTAATGTTATCCTTTTGTATTGTAGTTTACGAGCAAGGGCAAAAATTAAGGCTCAAAAACTACAAAAGTCAAAAGTAAACTCAATTTTTTTGCCACGTTAACTTTATGATAATACAGCTCTTGAAATGTTTTACAGGTCATCATAAAGTATTTTTCTAAATTTCTCATTTAAATACAAAATATTTTTTCAGTATACATGTATCTTTCTATACTTCCTTGCAGGTGTGCCCATGAGCTGTTGCGACGCCGCGAAAAGGGCGCCTCTCGCGCATGTCCAGCGTGTAATAAACTATTGAATTCACGCCTTCATCTCTGTGGGAGTGAGAGTGGTACTGGTCCGGGTGACGGCAGTGGCTCTGGCTGTAATGCCAAAGGAGTTGGCGCTGATCGTTTATTGTCTGTCGATACGGTTGACATTCTTCCACCACTTTGCACAGCGAACGGTGGTGTAGTCGTCGGCAATCCCAACGAAAAAGCAATCATCTGCAATGGTCTGAGCAGTATAGCACCAAATATCGATAGTACCGCATTAATGTTGACTGCGAATTCATCACCAAAGCCATTATATCGCAGCAATTTGTCATTGGCATCACTGAGTTTGCGTGCTTCAAGTTTGACCATTGACAACTCACGAAATGCCACTTCGTCGGTTTAAAAGAAGCCCTAACCTTGTTATAAGTAGATTGGTATGTCATAAAAATTTATTGTGACCCATTCAGCAGTATATCTAACGAATTCAACAAACAAAACAAGTATAAGTACTACACGAAGATAATTATATTTACATACAAACATATATATGTACAGGAAACAATTACTCTGTAGTGGGATTGGGTATGAAAAATGCGGTCAATATAGACTTAATTTTGCAGTGATAAAGGGGCTGAAGAACCGTGTGAAGGTAGACATAAAGTGAATGTTCAAAACAAAGTACCTATAGCAATCAATAAACAAAAAATTTAATGATTGATGAAGCGAAAATTTGGGAAAACAAGAGGGAGAGAGATACCAGCTTGCATCCGAAATCCTAATCCAAGTACAAATGCTAATTTGAATTTCTTGATGCCTATGATCAAAGGAAGTATGAACCAAACATTTTATGATACTAAACCTAATTTTCATTAAACGAAACGAGATGCAATTATGTTGCTCTAAAGTGTATAACTCTCTTGGTAGGTTAGGTCAGGTTCTGGTGGATGCCCTCATCCAGGTTCCGGAGGGAGTACTCTTAGGCCTAAGTGGGTCGGTTGCGGTGAAGTTCATTCGACTCAATGTTGATTCCGCCCGGTTAACTTGAAATAGAACCAGTCAGTTTTTATTATAACGAAGCGCCTTGGACAGACACTCGAAAAGGTACTGAGGTAGACGCCGCCGCCAACGTCTGACTAGACTCGATAACTTAAAAAAGTGTTCGCTGCTCTCGAGTTTTTGTTTGCCACGACAGCTCCGACAGTGTTAACCCACACGCTGGATTTACAGATCAACTTTGACTTCCCAGCTCCAGGCAAGTTATCTTAGCCTGGGCTTTTACGATGGTAGCATTTATCCCCTCTTCGTGGAACTAGTTTCTGGTCAATTTATCGATTGACCTGATATTGTCCTTTTCCCAGTTCCCCATAAAATCTTTATGACCTGCCAGTACGAGTAAAGCATTTCTTGGTACCATGACATAACCCCGAGGGACATCACCCCAATTTTAAATTTAGAACTATGTCACTCCTTATATAGTGGCAAAAAGTCAATTTTTTTTACTTGGGGTTATGTCACTTCTTATAAAGTATCATAACCCCAACTGGGATAATGTTCCTTTTGAGCCTAAATGAAAAACAAACAATAAGATCATATAAAAATACGTTCAAGAAATTTTTGCCTCGAAGTTCTCGCGGTGAGACTGTTTTCGGAAGCTAAAGTCGGTATTGAGCAGTTGAGTGTCTTAACATCAGTAGCGTTCTTTAATTTGTTCAGAGTTTTAGCGTCGCTGAAGTAATGCTTTTGTGCCCCATATTCTTTTTATTACCGATAGTAGACTCGTAAACGTATAGAGTACAGTACGCTTTGTCTTGGCAGCAGTGTTGATATTTTAAGTACAATTGTGCTTTTTTCAGTACAATTAGTTTTGAATATTTCTAAAGTACAATTTACTGTTTTTAAGTACAACTTCAACATCAAAAATACTTTTCTTACAAAATTCTGAAATCTCTGCCGCACTTTGATTATCAATACGTTCTCATTTAAGTAAATACACATATCTACATTTCATATTTGGTACAAAATGAAATTCTGAGTTGTAACTTTGAAAGTAAACGTGATTGTGACGGGCGCGTTAGTGTTGAGCGTTGTGGTGATTGCGATTTTTTATCACCGGTGGATGAAATATTCCTCGTCGCTATGTATTTTGAAAAAATCTTTGGAAATGCAGTTTACCTAATGAAGGTGCAGCAGAAAATGAAGTATGTAATTGAATAATTCGGGGATTGAAAGTAAACAATTTTACGTAAATTTCATGCGTTGAAACTATAAATTTCTATTGTGGGCTTCCATTTTAGTGTTACTGATATCATTTTATGTGATTTATTTTCCCTAATATAAACTGATCTATCTTCTGTATTAATTTTTTGTAGTTATTGTCTTCATATTTGAATATATATCCCGCGACAAAATTATACTGTTACCCGGGTTGGGCTATTTTTTTATATTTTTTTCTAATTAGTTAAATTTTTTTTATAAAAGTGGAGGTCATTGTCTAACGAAGCGAAATAAACCACGGATTTAAATATTGAAAAAAATCAACAAATTTTCATCAAAATTTCACAGTTTTTATTCAGAATTCGTAGAAATTTTTTGGGTAAACATTTTTGAATGCTATAAATTCAATAAAAGGTGCAAGTTTGAAATGTCTAAAAAATACCATTGATTTTTGGCTTTTTTTTTTGTTGACGGAGTTGCGCACCTTCTTCCATATAAGGAATGTTGGCATTTTATTTTATATGGAAGAAAATGCGCAACACCGTTGTTGACATTTTTCTTCAATGAGCTATACTTAACAAAAAAAATATGAAAATTAATTTGAAAAAAAAGTAAATATATAGCTCAAACTAGGTGACCGTAGAATTTTATCGCTGGGTGTACTTTTTAAAATGTGGAATATAATTTAATGGCCTTATTCATTAAAAATAAAGTAGCTTTATAAAAGGTTTATAAATTGAAAAATGTATGAAAACGTCAATTTATAAAGCTCTTTAAACCTACTTTATTTTTTATGAATAAGGCCATAAGAATTTATTTGTGTATACTGAAGTTAAACTGTAAACTTAATGAATTTTAGTGGGACTTTCTGTCTAAACTGGCTATGAGTTTATGGGCTACTGAAGCTGCACAATGAACTGAAAGATATGTAAACTTATCTACTGTAGGAGACAAAAATATGGTTTATGTTTGGTTGAAGGAAAACGGGAGGTAATGTTTTGACGGAAATGGTGAAAAGTACAATTAAGTTCAAAATGTTACAGTTTTTGTCGTTAATTTAGTACAATTTAAAAATCTCAAATATCAACACTGCCTGGCAGCCTGTATGTGCCTTTTACAAAAAGAAAGACTGGTGAATATATACAGAGATTCAGAGAAGAATTACACGTGGGTTTGTTACTCTGCTAATATCCCAGATATTATATGTACATGTCTACATACAGTAGATAATATTTACTACGATCATTGTGCAACTCAAAAATCGTCTCAATACCTTTTCTTCCTCTATTTCTCTAGCGAAACCTAAGAGAAGCGGGGGCGAAAGAGGCTGTATCTGGCCAAATCACGCGCATTTGCGGCTGGACCGCTTCGGAAAGCTGGTTGTACCAACGCAATGCAAAAAGGAATAAAAAATATTAGTTTGCTCATATATTCAAAGTATATTTTGCCACAATTGAGGAATGTGGCCACGAGCTCATTTCCAGTTTAATAATGAGTAAAGGCTCAGTTATGTATACTTAGCAACGCATAGTAAGAAGTGAGAGTTTTACCATAAGGAATCCGTTAAATGAGCCTTGTTTGTGAGCGTTTACGTTAAAAAGAGCATGACACAGAAGTCTTTTAATTTTTGATTTCTACGCAAAAGCGGCATTCGATTGTGAAGTGTGAGTGAGAGAGGGAGAAATGAGGACGGAAAAATGTGCGTAGTTGTTGGGAAGATATGTATACATATGCGGCCATGAGGGTCAGAGGAGCCTATCTACAAAAAAAAATTTAGTAATGTGAGAAAGAATGAACTTTAAAAGAGAGCTGTTAAATTTCCATTATGATTAGTAATCATTAATTTTTTTGCATTTTTTGTTTTTAATTATTATTTTAATTTTCATACATAACCCAGCCAGTAATAATTAATTATTAATTATACTTATAAAAAATAATCATGATTAATCGCCATTAAAAAAATAAACAAAAATATTCAAATAATTAGAAATAATCATAGTTAATCTTTTTGTTTTTTTTTAATTATTTTTAATTGTTTGATTATTTCTAATTTTTTGATTGTTTTTAATTATTTGATTATCTTCAATTATTTGATTATTTCTAATTATATGATTATTTTAATTACTTTGCCAAATAGATGAAACTGTGTTTGGCAAGCAAATTTTTATAAATTAGTATTAATTAACTGAAACCAAATTCACTGTACGAGAAAATACTTGTACTGTAGTTTAGAAATGATTTCACATAAGCATTTTCAATGTCAACTGTCTTTGCTATTCATTAATACTTCTAGATAGAATTTTGTAGAGGACACATTGAAGAAGATCTTCCATATAGACATAGGTATGTAAGTATATTATAAGCATATTGACCGCTTGTTATTTTATGAATTGTGTATTAGTCTTAAGCGAAATTCTCGCCAAAAATGATTTCGGATGAAAATGCTAGCGATTTCTCTGCGGACGACGATGTTGTCGATCCAACATTTACGCCACAAAAACCAAAAATAAAATCGAATTTGGATTGCTCCACATCATCTAGAGCACCCAAGTCTTCATTAAATATCATCTTTTCTGAAGAATACACGGACCTTATTATTATTATGAGCCTTGAGCACTGCGACCTCTAGGGTGGTCTACTGTGCGTGACCCTTTACCCCATACGTGAAGGCTTTTAATATAAGCTAGCACTTCGGTGGGCTTTTTGTTCCACATTTCGAATGGATTAAGTGTTGTACCACCTAGGTGAGCGAGTCTGCGTCTAGCGAGAGGAACACATTCACAAAGGATGCGTTCTGGCGTTTCTTCGCCCATCTCACAGAAGCGACAGACGCTCGTGTCTGAAAGATTCATTTTACTGAGGTGATAACACAGGGAACAATGTCCCGTGAAGTACCCAGTGAGAGCTCGAAGGTCCTCCCTGCCTAGATTTATGAGCATTTTTGAAGCTTCTTGTGATGGACAGCTTGTCTTTCCAGTGCCTATCGAATTTTTTGTCGACCCATTTGTTTATGACTTCCCTTAAGTGGGCTTTGGTGAGTCCGCAAAAGGGTTCCGGGCCATGGAATAGTGTGGTAGCTCCGTGTTTTGCTAGGCGGTCCGCCTGTTCATTGCCGTCATGGCCCTCGTGCCCCGGCACCCAGCCCAGTAATACTGTTTTCTTGCTTCCCATACCGTTTAGGGTGTTGAGGCAGTCGTAGTCATAATGAGAAAATATAAATTCATATTGGGAAATCCCAAATTGAGAATGAGAAGCGTAAATTCATATTGAGAAAGTATAACTTCATAATGAGAAATGTAAATTTATATTGAGAATATATAATTGATAATGAGAAATATAAAATCATAATAAGAAAATAAAAACTGATAATGGGAAATATAAATTCATGTTGAGAATATATAAATTGATAATGAGGAATGTAAGTTCATATTGAGAATATATAGATTGATAACACTGTGCAGCAAGAAAAATCAGCCTCAATAATTCCAACGCGGAATGAAAGTA